GCACTGATCAACCGATTTGAATGGTTCAAAAAACATTCGATTCCTATTGATAGAGAAAAGAGCTGATTAGTTTTTGGTGAAGGCAGGTCCAGCCGTTTCGGAGATACGGAGCAAAGAGTGCAGAAAATAGAAATCGACTTTTTGAGAGAACGGAGTATCCGATTTGAATGATCTAAAAAACATTCAATTAGTAATGATTGGGAGAAGCGTCTATTAGTTTTTGGCAAAGGCAGGCCCAGCCATTTCGAAGATAAGGAGCTAAATATGTAAGAAATGGCAGTTTTTGAGAGAACTAAGCGTCTGATTTAAATGATTCAAAGAACTTTCTGCTTGTCTTAACAAAATAATTGATTTTGAAAAAAAAAAATTGTATAATTTTTTTTTTCTTTTAGTTTTTCTTGTATATCAAAAATAATTTTAAATTTGCAATTCAGTTTATATACTTCTTATAAATATTAGACAATGTTACAATATTTATAATAATCTATTTGAAAACATTCAGTATTCCTCGAACATTGCGTTACGGTACGGGAAGTTCCAGCAATTTGCCTTAAGGCACGATGCCACCCACCCCACTAGTTTTGTTTATATGTCATGACATCTTCAAACATTGTCTTATGCAGTTTCTATTGTTTATTATTTTATTTTCCTAAATTAAATTTAGTAACAATTTAAGTGAAATTGCTGAAGTGGCCAAAAAAAATAAATACTGAATATGTTAGTTGTTCCGTGCTTATCGATTCCAGTATTGATTGTCAATTTGAATTCGTTTGCCTACCTCTGATCCGTGCAGCTCACATTATTAGGCACATGCGGACACCCCTCAAATGATCAACCATTTCCCTTAATAACATGCCGCCATGAACGGCTACATCTGACCCGGCGTCACCCTCTCCCAGGCCATCTAATAAAGCACGCAGTCCATATAGGAGTACTCGTGTAAAGCCCTAACTCCTATCGGAAACACCATTTAAACTTCAATTTGGCCATCCATCTAGCACAGTGTCATGTCACACGTACGTAAAGCACGGAACTGGAGTGAGGACACGGATTTTGATTGCTGATGGTTGGATGTCTGATGTCTCTCGACTAACTTCAGATGTACCTTTTCTGATGTGGATTAAGGTTTAATTCGTAAAGTACTTTCTTAAGTTTTATGTCTTAAACTATTGTTTTGAGGAATTTAAATACTGATTTCAAGAGAGAAAAAAATCCAACTACAGAGCGTTTCCTACAGACGTTATTTGGTAATGTTGAAGTATTGAATTCCGGTATTGTGTTATAAATAAAAGCCTTTTTTTTAAGTTTTATCACAACAGAAACCTTTTAGCAATGCTTTTTAAACAAAATTAAGAAGACTTTGTGATTTTTTTTTCTTATATTAAATATTCCTTTTCTTTTTCTTTCGTATTTTGCCTTAACTTAAATTAGATTTTTTTTTAACTTTCCGTAGGAATTTATAGCAATCGCAAAAAAATCGAAAATGAACATTTTTATATATCTTTACGTTTCAGAGGTTTCTGAATATTTTGGCATACCTTAGAAAAATGTATGTATGTGTATGTGTGTGTGTGTGTGTGCAGATACAAATTTTCGTCGACGATTTCGGGAACACCGATCAACCGATTTAAATAATTCAAAAAACGATTTGTATTGATAAGGAGACGTGCTGAATAGTTTTTGGCGGAGGCAGGTCTAGTCCTTCCGAAGATACGGAGCAAAAAGTGCCAAAAACGGTAACACGGTTTTTATGAACATGGAGCGTTCGATTTTAAAAATTCAAAGAACTGATCAAATTTTCATGAAGGCAGGTCTATCGGTTTTGGAGATCTAGTAAAAAAAGTAAAAAAACGCCATTTGGCGGTCAAAAATGATTATTAGACATTTGCACATCAAATTATTAGATATTTTATAGAGATTTTAACAATAAGTATAAATTTTGTTTACATTCCTATGGGTTCCGTATCAATGTTTATCCGTTAGACGGCGACGCGGCGCTTACGCGATTCGATATTTTGTTTCTGTGCAGTAAAAGCAGTACGATTGCTTTGAAAACAGTTCAGAATTTCCAAAATATTTCAAAATAAATTTTTCTTTATAAAGTCTTTTTTTTCAAAAAAAGGTAAATTTTTATCAAAAATGTATAGTTTCTCAAAAATCTAATTTTTTCAGAGTAAATTTTTTTCAAAAATGTTAATCTTTTTTAAAAAAAATAATTTTTGGTACGGAAAGTTCCAGCAATTTGCCTTAAGGCATAATGCTACGCGCCCCACTAGTTATCTATTTAATCTTTACTCAAAAAGGACAAGAAATGCATGTCACAACCGTACCCAACGCACACTCTTCAAAACAATTCATCATTATAACTGAGCTAAATTATCTAAGCAAAAACTATTTGTTGGTAAATAACTACTAATGTTCAACTTGCAGCAAAATAACAAAGTGATATATCTACATACAATTAACAGTTAAGAATTCAAACAAGAAAACTTACTTTTGACTCTTTTCAAAGAACTCAGTCTACAGGTAATGTTAATGTAAAGCCAGGGGCGTAGCGTGCTTTGGCGGGGCTCCGTATCAAAATTTGTTTGGGGCCCCCCTCAACAAGAAATTTTATTTTACAAAATATAAAAATACATAAAATTAAAATATTTATCTATCTATTTTTTTCTAATTTTCTGAATTTTTCACAAATGATTCCAGATTCACTCTCCTTGCCTTTTTTGAAAAACTGAATTATTTAGTGATCTTTAAATTTTATAAAGTTTCTGTCTCTATGAACTTACAGGTCTAGTAGATCTTTCTGTCCTAAAGTCTTTACATATTTTTTAATTAGTTTTGATTTTAAAATTTTTTAGCAGTTGCGATTGTAACTGAAAGGGCCAAGAATAAAATGCATACTGTTATTTCGTTGAGAAAACTGAAAACTGGAAACTGCCTATTGCATTTGAATCCTATCATTATACCTTAACGAAATAAATTTCTTAGATTTCTGTGTTCAAACCTTCATACTTCAAAGATATATTTATAGTATTTCTTTACAGTAATTCATTCGACTGTTTTTCGGAAATGTTTATTAATTCTCGATTTCAAAAAGACAACTGTTACTACTTATGTGGCAAAGGTTTTAAGATCTTTGTTTGCTTTGTGAAATTAATATATATCCAAACAGCAATAGTATACGTTAAAATAAGATTTCGGGTCTAAAATTTTCTCATATTGTGATAACCCATTATAATAACTTTTGATAACTCATCATAATAACGCTTCATTATCTTTTGTTTTTTGTCCTTTAGAATAGTTATTGCAATCCACCTTTTTTGCATATTATTTGGACTTCTTTAGCAAACTAATTCAATAAATTTTCATATCTTAATTCCACAGTCTGTTTAAAAAATTACTTAATAAAATACTAGTTTTCGTAAGTCATTACGGGCATGTTGTAAAGTTTCAGAAATGAAACTAATAATTTGAAATAGTGAAGAAATAAACCTGAAAATGATTTAGTTGATCACACTTATGAAAATCTATTAAACTTACGCGTCATGCAGACAATTCAAGTAGTAACAACAACAAACATTAAAATATTACAAATATAACAATAAAAATTCCAAATTCCAATTTTCGATTAAGAATGTAAAATCTGAATTAGTTTTATAGATTTGTTGACAAGAATATTAACTTATCGGATGTGCGTTAGCTTAAATTTAATACCTTTCGATAACAAAAGGAAATGCAAACTATATTAAAATTATTCAATTTTTTGAAAACTTGTTGATTTGCTTTCTGCTTGCGCTCGTTGGGGGCCCCCTCGGCTCGGGGGCCTCGTATTTTTGATACGGCTGATACGGCGGTAGTTACGCCCCTGTGTAAAGCACTGATTAATTGGAAGTTGTCGGAACAATTATATTTCATTTTTCTCCATTTGGACCCTATCTCAAAATATGTATAGTTTAGCTATTATAACGGCTGTCATTACCGTATCCTGGCACAACCGTACCCAGTCTCCCCTACTAAAGAATCAGAATATGATATTAATAATATTTAAAAAATATATGAAAACTATTACGTTGGAAAATCAATGGACAGTGGACAAAATTGTTTTGTAACATTTTATATGTAAGGATTTATATTTTGAACACGTGTTTTATTGTGATTTGAATTATTGTTAGTGTGTTGTCAGTGGTATTTACTCGCTACCATAGTATATTATGTGAAATATTTCTCTTCCTTGCCGATGACGAAACGATAAACATCTATTTTAAACTAGTGGGGTGTATGGCATCGTGCATTAAGGCAAATTGCTGGAACTTCCCGTACCGTAACGAATTGTTCGAGGAATACTGAATGTTTTCCAATAGATTATTATAAATATTGTAACATTGTCTAATATTTATAAGAATTATATAAACTGAATTGCAAAGTTAAAGTTATTTGTTTAAAGTATATTAGAACTTTAGTCAGAATTAAAAATAAAATCTGATTTATTTTCGATATACAAAAAAAATGTTTTTGAAAAAAAAATTGAAAAAAAAGTATTTTGAAACAAAAATTTTATTTTCCAAAATCAATTATTTTGTTAAAACAAGCAGAAAGTTCTTTGAGTCATTTAAATCGGACGCTTAGTTCTCTCAAAACCTGCCATTTTTTTAACATTCAGCTCTGTATCTTCGAAATGGCTGGGCCTAGCAAAAACTAATAACCACTTCTTCAAATCATTACTAATTAAATGTTTTTAGATCATTCAAATCGGATACTCCGTTTTCTCAAAAACTCGATTTCTATTCCGTAACTGCTGAACCTGCCTTTGCCAAAAACTAGTCAGCACATCTCCCTATCAATAGGAATCCAATGTTTTTTGAACCATTCAAATCGGTTGATCCGTGCGCCTGAAAACGTGACCGAAAAATTGTATCCATACATACATACACGCTTTTAGCAACTAAGTTACTATTATTAATAAGTAATTAATTTGTTAAATTATTTTTAAATATTTACAGGCAAGAGTTTCACGTTAACGATAACGATTTCGACGTCTCCACCTCAAGTCGCAACTTATACGAAAGCAATCAAAGTAACAGTCGATGGGCCCAGAGAACCGAGGAGTAAAACTAGTAAGTAAATCATTTTATATCTACTTAATAAATTTAATAATATTTTACATAATTTTATTTACTTATCTAGTATCATTTTTCTGCACTGCAAAAAAAAACATTGAAAATATTTTCATAGAGAATAAAAAAAACATGCTTTTACAGTTTTACAATGTAATATTAACAAATAATGAATCTATTAATCAATTGATGTATTATTAAAATATAACGATCATTTATAAAATTTACTATTAAAATCTATGCTTGAATTTATGAATTATGAAAATAAATTAGGGAACACGAAAATAAATTAACAAAATCATGCTAGAACCTTATAAATAAGGAAAGATTTTGATCAAAAAAACCTTACTATCCGATAAGAACAGTCTTATATAGTCCGCTTTCTATAATATTCTATATTAAGATAATGAGTGCCAATTAAATTATGTCAAGTTGTAGTGCGCTAATTGCAATAATAGTAAAGCGCTAATTATGACATAGTTTTTATCAAAAAATCTAATTTCTTATTTTTTTGAGGGCATTCTGAATATTTTGGTAACAAGAAAACAAATGTATGCTTAAGACTTAAAAATCTTTCATTTTAATTTGTTTTTTTTTTTATAAAACTAAAACATAAGTTGCATTGAATAATTATGACTATGTGAGAACTAGAAGAAAGAAAAAATATTAATAGGTGTAAGTGGCATTATGCTATGAGGCAAATTGCAAGACCTTCCTAATATGTATGAAAAATCAAGTTTATCAACTAAGTCATTATCAAATTTGTTTAACTTCAACGAATTTTTATACCACTTTTTGTAGACCTATAATTAATTATTTTTAGGACAATGACAATTTTTTATTTTTTAAAATCAATTCAGGATTTTTGCTAAAACGGGAATGAAAAATTTTGCACTATTATGTTAATTGTTTAATGTTAATGGTTCGACCGATCCATTAAAGAGAACTAATTAACGCAAGTTCTAATCTTGTTCAATCGAATGGCTTCTAAAATCAGTGCTTTTGAGAAAACGTCGACAAAGTTCAAAAATTGACTCACATGTATTATTTTTTTTTATTTGGACTCAAATGATTTAGAATCACTATATTAGATTTTCTGGCAAAAACATAAACTTCTCCTTCGAGATGATCATAAGTTATCAGTTGTAAATGTCAACATGAGTGCCTGTAAAATCATATATTTCAGTGAAGCTTTTTCTACGGAATTTATTTTTACTTTTACTGTTTTTACTTTAATTTTATAAAATGAAACTCGATATTCTTAATCTTCGTTAGTATTGGTTACTCAATTGCGTGAAATTCACTATAGCTAGTATATAGACAAAACATTTTTAACTTTATTTTGTTTCGAGATATTGGTGATGAACCTTTTTATCCACGGACTTTTAAGTCCTGATCTATCATATACTAAATTATAATTTTAGAAATTTTTTTTTTTATGGGAAAGTGCATGCAAATAATAAAAAATGTGTCTTTTACGCATTGTTGTTAGTTATGAAACTATATTATAGGAATTTATTGACTTTTCATTTTTTCGTTTTTATATAAATTAACATTGTACCACTACACCAATAATTAAATTGGTATCTTTATTAACTTTGGTAATTTTATCGAGTCACTTTCTGTTACTATCAATGAGTGTATATAAGATAGCGTTCAAGGAACTTTTTTAATTATTACCCCAAAATGTTTTGTCCAAGTTGATATTACCCCATACGGGCAACCATGTAGCAAATACAGTAAACATCAATTAAAAACATATACTTCTTACCCCCCAAAATTTCATTTTTACCCCATTTGGGGTAATTTACCCCGGTTCATCGTCCGTCTTATATTATAAGGCATTAACCAGAAAACAATCAGGCGCCAAATGTACGTGAGCTGCACTTTGATTATAACAATTCAGTCTGAAAATGGTTTAAATCGTTATGTACCGAGTCTATTAATATATGTAGATGGCGCCTCCGAAGTGGCGCCTATATGTTTAGCATAAGTACTATGGAGTATTTATAATTACCCCAAACATCGTCTTGGGTTTGGTTATTCTATTCGGCGTTTATTAGTTTATTTCTATTACAATTAACTACACACATTGGAATCATTTCAGAAGACTAGATTCAAATTCCTTTGTATGCGTTTAGTTATAATAAATTTTGATCTTTCATAATAAACCAACCAAAATTTTATGAACGTCTGCAACAAATGTCATAAAACTTCTACCTAGATCTCGTTGACCGCCTGTTCTTGTTTCTAATAATTGGTACTTTTGAGATATTCATTAATATAATATATCGAATTAAATAAAATTTTATTTAAACAAGAACCTAATAATTGGTTTATAAAGAAGAATAAATTTGAATGGTATTAAATAAATACTTTTATTTTGGTAAAAGCCAAAATTCGGTGATAGTATTGACTGTAACTGTTCTGAAAAAAATTAGAAAACTAGTGGGGCGCATGGCATCGTGCCTTAAGGCAAATTGCTGTACTTCCCGTAGCAAAAATTATTTTTTTAAAAAAAGATTAACATTTTTTAAAAAAAATTACTTTTAAAAAAAAAAATTTGACAAAAATTTACTTTTTTTTAAAAAAAAAAGACTTTGAAGAAAAATTTCTGAACTATTTTTTAAAGTAATCATACTGCTTTAACTGCATAGAGACGAAATATCGAATCGCGTAAGCGCCGCGCCGCCGTCTAACGAATAAACATTGGTACGGAACCCATAGGAATGTAAACAAAATTTATACTTATTGTTAAAATCTCTATAAAATATCTATTAATTTGATGTGCATATGTCTAATGAGCATTTTTGACCGCCAAATGACATTTTTTATTACTAGATCTCCGAAACCGCTAGACCTGCCTTCATGAAAATTTGATCAGTTCTTCATCTTGTTAATACAAGTAAAATGTTTATTCAATTATTCAAGTCGGACGCTCCGTTCTCTTAAAAACTGAGTTACCGTTTTTAGCACTTTTTGCCTCATATCTTCGGAACGGCTAGACCTGCCTTCGCCAAAATCTAATCAGCATGTCTTCTTATTAATATGAATCGAATGTTTTTTTGAATTATTCAAATCGCTTCATCCGTGTTCCTGAAATCGTCGACGAAAATTTATATCAGAACACACATACACACAGGCACACACACACATACATCAATTTTTTCTAGGGTATGCCAAAATATTCAGAAACCTCTGAAACGTAAAGATATATAAAATTTTTCATTTTCGATTTTTTTGCGATTACTGTTACTTGTAAATCGTCGACGAAAATTTGTATCCGCACACGCACACATACACGCACACACACACATACACACACGCACACATACATCCATTTTTTCTAAGGTATGCCAAAATATTCAGAAACCTCTGAAACGTAAAGATATATAAAATTTTTCATTTTCGATTTTTTTGCGATTACTGTAACTTGTAAATCGTCGACGAAAATTTGTATCCGCACACGCACACACACACGCACACATACACATACACACACGCACACATACATCCATTTTTTCTAAGGTATGCCAAATTGTTCAGAAACCTTTGAAACGTAAAGATATATAAAAATTTTCATTTTCGATTTTTTGCGATTACTTATACTTGCCCTACGGGAAGTTAATAAAATGGAGAGCAATACAAACATATTATTCAAACCTTTTAGTTTAATATATTGAAAAGAATATACTGAAAATTTTAAAACGTGCTTCTGAAAAAGTTCTAAATTTTTATTGTCATCGAGCAACAAATTATATCAATTGCCTGGGCGTAAAATAAAAATACATATGAATAGTTGTTATTTATAATAATTAGAGCAAGTCCGTTTGTCATAAGAATAAATCAGAATTCGAAATTTTATAAGTATAATATATAAAATGTTAAGAAGAAAATATCTCTCATAATACCAACACATTTTTTAAATCAAAGAATTTAGATATACGCACTATAAAATTATTTGAACAAAATATCCCTCAAATTATGAATAAAATTATGACTGGATTAGCTGCACTAAAAATTGTATCTCAACATCTAATACCGCTGCAGACAAAATTTAATCTCATGGGGTACATGACATTCTTATGAGGTCTTTCAATCGTCAAGTTTATAAATAAATCTCAAGTCAAGAAAAACAATTTTTATAGCATCGTTTGAAGCTACCTTCCGCCTCATATACATGATACACGTTCCACTAAATGTGTACTAAAATCAGAATAAAAACTTAATCTGGGTGGTCTACTAACAAACTACCTCGATTCAATTTTAAGTAGTGCACAAATACTTTTCAAACTATCATGACCTACTTTGCAATTTTTAGATTTTAGATTTAGTCTCGTTTTAAACTTTTCATACTACGCACACACAAAAGCACGTACATTGATTGTTTTGAATTGTAAGTATCGAAACGTAAAAATATCAAACAATAATTATTACAATTATGGTACAAAATTTTGTTTAATCACAGTACATAACAATCATAAAACACCCAAAGTATCTCTATGGTAGGAAATCATTGTCACTACCGACGATATTGTTATTTTGCAATTAACATTTTTCTAGAAAACTCTTACTCGCTCAATGCTCGTATCTCGAATTTTGCTCGTATGTCGAAGCAACTTGTAAGTCTTTCATTTCAATCATAAATGTATTAATGATATTTCAGCGCATCTTTGTATTGAGGCTGATAATATTTACCTGCAACAAATTTCCAGCAACTTTGTGAAATTATTGATAAAATTAAAATGAATTTATTAGACAGTTTACTTATAAACCTAAAATAATAATAGGTCTTTTTATCAAAATATTACAAAAATTAGAAAGTGGGGTGCATGGCATCGTGCCTTAAGGCAAATTGCTGGAACTTTATGTACCATAATTAAAAATCTTGGTACGGAACCCAAAAAAATTTACCAAAATGTGTACACATTATGAAAATCTCTATAAAATAACTGATAATTTGATGTGCAAAGTCCAATAAACATTTTTGGCCGCCAAATGACATTTTTTTTAACTTATTTTTATTGAGAATCCATAACCGCTAGACCTGCTTTCATAAAAATTATTATTATTATCATTAATTATTATCAGTAGTTCATCTTGTCAATACAAGTAAAATGTTTTTTGAATTATTAAAATCGGACGCCCCGTTCTCTTAAAAACTGAGTTAACGTTTTCGGCACTTTTTGCCCCGTATCATTGGAACCGCTAGACCTGTCTTCGCCAGTCTCCTTATTAATATGAATCGAATTTTTGTTTTTGAATCATTCAAATCGGTTGATCCGTGTTCCCGAGATCGTCGACGAAAATTTCATACATCCATTTTTTCATCACACTCATACATCCATTTTTTCTAAGGTATGCCAAAATGTTCAGAAACCTCTAAAACGTAAAGATATGTAAAAATTTTTATTTTCGATTTTTTTGCGATTACTATAGCTTGCCCTACGGGAAGTAAAAAATAATCTTATAAATCTTAAATTTACATGTGCAATTCATATGTATACCCTGTTATTATTTCTTGCTAAGATTCTTCAAAAACCTAATGCGTGCTGATTCGTCTCAGTGCTCTCTCTTCTAGGGCAGCAACAGCAATTCCACTTCGCATTCAGTCACAACTTAGGGCACAATTTAGGCCACATCAACCACAACTTAGGACAAATTGGTCATCAACTTTCGCACCATAACCTGGCTGGACACCATAATTTGGGGCACAACTTAGGTCACAATTTGACGGGGCACAATTTAGTTGATCCGCTGGTTGGATTTAGGATGCCACCGTCGGCTTGTCAAAGTGAGTATCTTGTAATGTGTATTTTAAGTATTGATTTTAAATATTGTAGTTTAGTTTAGATTTGATAGTAGAATTGAAGACCTCATGTTTCCATTAATTGTGTATCCAAGCTGTATTGTGATTATAAGAATTTTATGTGTATGCCTACGAAGCTTGAGAAATGTTTAGTGGAACATTTTTGTCATCCAATAAAATAAATGTAAATATTAACCGAATTTGTTTAATTTTATTATACAATACTATTCAAATAACTCAATGATTAGATTCTGAACGAATCAACTTGATTAATAAAACTACTATTATGCAGATTATGTATTTTATTTATTACATATTTTTGAAAAAATCATTCTTTCTACTGCAACAAATATTGCAATTCAGTTTAGGAAGAAACAGATATTATAGATGTCAAAAAATATATGTCTAAAATTTCACAAATTTTTTAGTCAATCAATACACAATCACAATTCTATTTAATTCTAGAACATATGCACGAGCAAGTTTTTTTTTAAAGTTCTTAGTTTATTTCATATTTTTTTTAAAGTTCTTAGTTTAAAATTATGGTGCTCCATGGCGTAAAACTCGCCGTAGCGAGCATAGCGTGAAACGCGCACTATCTGGTCGCAATATTAAGCCGCTCTGGCAACCTGACATAGGGCAGTTGCGATGTTCATTTTTACATGAAAATATAGATCAAAAATATGTTTCCAATTAAAAATTATCCTATTTCGGGCACTACGAGGTAAAATGGCAATGGAAAATTTATCACACTATTCTTTCCTGAATCGAGTTAAAGTCTAACTCAGTTCATAGATCTACCCTAGGGTAGAACTCCCCATTATTAAATAAGATCGCTTCAATAGAAATACAAAAATGTCCATAAATGTCATCCTTCTGACATGTTGACTATATTTTTTTTTCATTAGACATGTCACAGTTTGGATCTGAAGGTGCATGGGCTTACGGAGCGGGTGCTTATTCGCCGTACCTTGCTGGACCCACAGGTGGTGCCTCGGCTCCCAGTGCCGTGGCGGCCACGGCCAACAATTCTGTACTTGCTCCATCACAATTCGCACCACCTGCTGGGCAAGTTAACGCCGCTACTGTAGCAACTTCAAATGGTGAGTTGAATAATGATACCAAAAAGGTATCAATGTATATTATAGTTATGCGCACCAATTAAGAATTGCGATGGTATAAGTTGATTGTAATAGAGGAGACAGGACATTGTTGTGCCAGGGTACGGTAGTGACAGTCGTGATAATAACTAAACTATACTGAGTTAAAAGAGACAGATTGTTAACTTTGTTTTAAAAATTATGTTTCCTTATATATTGTTATATATTATTCATGAGCTTTGTTCAAATACTTATGTTGTGTTGTTACATATTATTGTTATCAACGTCAATAAAAGTCGCTACAAACCATTTCGGTGTTCTAGTTTTATGCCTGTCACAACCGTCGCGCGAGAACTGTTGATACACTCGCCGTTTTGTTTGTTTTTAAGACAAATCGTATTTAAGGGCAGCGTTTCATTAATTTTATGTATACAAATGTTTAAATTACCATTTAATTTACTTTTGTCCCAGCTAACTGGTGAATTAACAAAATTATTGCTGATAAAAAAAAGTGGCACAACCGTACACAGTTTCCCCTAATCTTTATTTTCTACTATATATTTTTATTCGTTTATATTCATCACCTAATAATATATCGCTCTAATTAATTATAGGAAATAATTCGGCGTACTGTTCGAGGCAAACCAATGATACTGATAATTCAGACACATTTAATAATTCTAATCAATGTAAGTACAACTAATAAATTAAACAAATTTCTAAAATAACGAAAGTTCATTTATTAAATCTGTTTGCAGTATTACCGGACTCCACGGCGGATCTGGAACAACATTTAAGCGGCCTAGTTGAACATACATCTTCGCCTGAACGGTAAATAATAAATTATTAGATACATACTAATATAATTTAATATTTAAACTATGAACTTTTTGAATTTATATATATATATATATATATATATATATTTCAAAGTAACTAGCAGCCCATTCGTCGAAATAAAAAAGGTATAAAGTATAAAAACTTTTATTTATACGTTTCGACACAAGATGCGTGTCATCATTCAGCAACTACAACAATTTGAAAATTTTATTAACTAATATGAACAACAATATAGATTATTATAGCATAGAGAAACATTATACAACACCACAGGACAAAAACACTCAACAAAAATTTATTTTTAAAAAATTAAACTTAATAACATATTAGAGAAAAACATTTTTTTAGAAAAAATTATGTATAACTAAAAGATTTGAAAACTAATTTGACTAAAAGTTATGAAATGCATAAAAGTTATGAAATGCATTTCATAACTTTTAGTCAAATTAGTTTTCAAATCTTTTAGTTATACATAATTTTTTCTAAAAAAATGTTTTTCTCTAATATGTTATTAAGTTTAATTTTTTAAAAATAAATTTTTGTTGAGTGTTTTTGTCCTGTGGTGTTGTATAATGTTTCTCTATGCTATAATAATCTATATTGTTGTTCATATTAGTTAATAAAATTTTCAAATTGTTGTAGTTGCTGAATGATGACACGCATCTTGTGTCGAAACGTATAAATAAAAGTTTTTATACTTTATACCTTTTTTATTTCGACGAATGGGCTGCTAGTTACTTTGAAATATGTTTCAACGTCGAAAAAACTATCAAGATATATATATATATATATATATATATATATATATATATATGGACACAATTTCAATTGGAATGTGTATGTATGTGTGGATACAATTTTTTGTCGAAGATTTCGAGAACACGGATCAACCGATTTGAATGATTCAAAAAGCATTCTATTCCTATTGATAAGGAGACGTACTGATTAGTTTTTAATAAAGGCAGGTCTATCCGTTTCCAAGATACAGGGCAAATAATGCTTCAGCTTTTGTGAGAACGAAGCCTCCGATCATAATAATTTAAAAAGCATTTTACTTGTAGTGACAAAATGAATAACTGATTATATTTTTATGAAACGGTTCTAGCGGTTACGAAAAACTAGTGAAAATGTAAAAAAAATGTAATTTTGCGCTCAAAATTGATCATTAGACATATACACAACAAATTATAAAATATTTTAATAAGTACGTATTTTGTTTTTATTCAAAAAATTTAGGATATAAAAAATATTTTTTAGAAAAGTCGATTTTTTTCAAAAATTTCAAAATTCTCGAAAATTTAATGTTTAATTTTCAAAAAAATTAAAGCTTTTTTGAACATTTTAATTCTTGGTACAAAAAGTTCCAACAATTTTCCTTAAAGCACGATGTCATCCACCACTAGATTTTATATAAATTCATAATTATAAAGTTTATTTCCTATTTTGAGGTATGTGCCTTCTACGACGGAAAATGGACCCACTCAGCAACATGTGACCTCTCAGCAAAATAATTCTGGAGATTTTTCGCATAACAGAAGTTTATCCAGTGAATCTCAACAGAGCGATTCGCCTGTTCAAGATGATTTACTATCAACGAGGTGATTTAAATTTATGTGACAAAAACCAAGCATCGAAAAAACAGTTTTCATTCAAAAATTTTATTAAAATAAACAATATTATTATTCACAAAGCGTTTTTTTTAGTACAATGGACGCTGGTACGCAGTGGTGCTCTCCCCTTTCTGCAAATGCAACAGCATCCGGAATTTTCTCCGGATCGGCCGGAACCAATACGAACTCCGGCGTTGGCAATACGTCATCTGCTACGTATCATCCGCAGTACCCTTCTGTGCTGCCGGCTGCTAGTCTTCTTTATTCGCAACTGTATGCTGGTCAATATCACCATCATCATCATAATATCATCAATGGTGCAGGTAATATAGAAGGTTGATAAATTGCGCATTATGAATGAACCCTTAATTAACATTTAGATTCGAAAATGTTGGGCCAAAGATGTACAAACTAGCGCAGCGTTTGCGACCATTTTCGCACGAAGAGTACAGATTATTACAAAAATAATAATGATTTTGTATTTTGAAGTTTTTTGTTAACTCCCCGTAGTGCAAGTTATAGTAATCGCAAAAAAATCGAAAATGAAAATTTTTATATATCTTTACGTTTCAAAGGTTTTTGAATATTTTGGCAAAACTTAGAAAAAATGGATGTATGTGTGTGTGTGCGGATACAAATTTTTGTCGACGATTTCGGGAACACCGATCAACCGATTTAAATAATTCAAAAAAAATCGATTAGTACTGATAAGGTGACGTGCTAATTAGTTTTTGGCGAAGGCAGGTCTAGCGGTTCCGAAGATAGGGGGCAAAAAGTGGCAAAAATGGTAACTCAGTTTTTAAGAGAACGGAGCGTCCGATTGTAATAATTCAAAAAACATTTTACTTGTATTGACAAGATAAAGAATTAATCAAATTTTTATGAAGGTAGGTCTAGCGGTTTCGGAGATCTAATAAAAAAAGTAAACTAGCTGTAAGTGAAATTCTGTCTTAAGGCAATTAGGGCATCGTACCTTAAGGCAAATTGCTGGAACTTCCCGTACCAAAAATTATTATTTTTTTAAAAACGATTAACATTTTTGAAAAAAAATTACTTCGAAAAAATAAGATTTTTGAGAAACTATAAATTTGACAAAAAATTACTTTTTAAAAAAAAAATTTTTTTTTATTTTTAAATCTTTTTTTTTTGAAAAAAAATGTTTTCTACAATTTGACATATGTTGGAAGATCTGAACTTTTTTTCAAAGCAATCGTACTGCTTTAACTGCATAGAGACAAAATATAAAGCGCGTAAGCGCCGCGTCGCTGTCTAACGGTTAAACATTAGTACGGAACACATAGAAATGTAAACAAAATTTATACTTATTGTTAAAATCTCTATAAAATATCTGATAATTTGATGTGCATATGTCTAATGATTATTTTAGACCGCCAAATGGCATTTTTTTTTTACTTTTTTTGTTAGTTCTCCGAAACCGCTAGACCTGCCCTTATGAAAATTTGATCAAATCTTCATCTTGTCAATACAAGTAAAATGTTTTTTGAATTATTAAAATCGGACGCTCCGTTTTCTTAAAAACTGAGGTACCGTTTTTGGCTCTTTTTGCCCCATCCATTTTTTCTTCCAAAATATTCAGAAACCTCTGAAACGTAAAGATATATAAAAATTTTCATTTTCGATTTTTTTGCGATTATAATAACTTACCCTACGGGAAGTTAAAAAATGCCATTTGGCGATCAAAAATGATCATTAGACATATGGACATCAAATTATCAGATATTTTATAGAGATTTTAACAATAAGTATAAATTTTGTTTACATTCCTATGGGTTCCGTACCAATGTCATCTGTTAGACGGCGACGCGGCGCTTACGCGCTTTGACATCTCGTCTCTATGCAGTTAAAGCAGTACGATTGCTTTGACAAAAAAATCAGAATTTCCAAAATATGTCAAAATATTTTTTTTTTCAAAAAAAAGTAATTTTTTGTCAAATTTATAGTTTCTCAAAGATCTAATTTTTTCGAAGTAAAATTTTTTCAAAAATGTTAATCGTTTTTTTAAAAAAAATAATAATTTTTGGTACAGGAAGTTTCAGCATTTTGCCTTAAGGCACGATGCCATGCGCTCCACTATTTAATAAATATTTTGTAATGCTTGCGATCACCGTACCGAGACATTTGCTTCTAATATGTATTTACGTTTGGCCTACGCGGACTATGCTTGCCAATGTAGGGTAGGGGATTAAAAAACTATTGGTTATAAGGAGTTCATTTATCCGCAGGCAAAATTAATGTTAACTAGCTGTAAGTGGAATTCTGTCTTAAGGCAATTAGGGCATCGTGCCTTAAGGCAAATTGCTGGAACTTCCCGTACCAAAAATTATTATTTTTTTTTTAAACGATTAACATTTTTGAAAAAAAATTACTTTGAAAAAATAAGATTTTTGAGAAACTATAAATTGGACAAAAAATTAGTTTTTTTTTGAAAAAAAAAAAATTTTTTAAAAAAAATTTTTTTTTTAATTTTTTTTTTTTTTTTTTGGAAAAAAATTTTTTTTTTCTTTATTTTGACATATTGTGGAAGATCTGAACTTTTTTTTTCAAAGCAATCGTACTGCTTTAACTACATAGGGACAAAATATAAAGCGCGTAAGCGCCGCGTCGTTGTCTAACGCATAAGCATTGGTACGGAACCGATAGGAATGTTAACAAAATGTATACTTATTGTTAAAATCTCTATGAAATGTCTGATAATTTGATGTGCATATGTCTAATGATCATTTTTGACCGCCAAATGGCTCATTTTTTTACTTTTTCCTCTATATCTCCGAAACCGCTGGACCTACCTTCATGAAAGTTGTATCGATTCTTTATCTTGTCAATACAAATAAAATGTTTTTTGAATTATTAAAATCGGACGCTCCGTTCTCTTAAAAACTGAGTTACCGTTTTCGGAACTTTTTGCCCCGTGTCTTCGGAACGGCTTGACCTGCCTTTGCCAAAAACTAATCAGCACGTCTCCTTATCAATACGGATCGAATGTTTTTTGAATTATTCAAATCGGTTGATCCGTGTTCCCGAAATCGTCGACGAAAATTTGTATCCGCACATACATACACACACATACATACATACATACACACACACACACACATACACACACACACACACACACATACATCCATTTTTTCTAAGGTATGCCAAAATGTTCAGAAACCTCTGAAACGTAAAGATATATAAAAATTTTCATTTTCGATTTTTTTGCGATTACTATAACTTGCCTTACGGAAAGTTAATTAAGGGGTAACACACATTTTTTCAAGATTAAAAAAAATTTAAGGCTTCAAAATGCTTTGAATTTTTCAGATATTAAAGAGAAATAACTTTGAATATATAAATTATATTTCATTTTTAATCTATATTGATATGTAACAGTTTTTGTAATTGCTAAATTGTGTAAATAGTTATTTTGATTAATATAAAATAATCACGCCTGAGGTTAGTTGCAACAAAATCTTGAAGCTAGTTGCACTATACAAAATTTATATACAGATTCAAGTAAAAAAGATTGAATGGAATATATAGTTTGTAAGATATGGGCACAAGGAGACCAAAAATCTTATTTGAATTATATTGATATTTGTATCATAAGAGAAATCATATATTTCATTGTATTCGAGGTATTTTTATCGTTTTTTTTTATCCTTATTACTTGCTGCGGTAGTTATGCCTAGCCCCAAACACGGGGTAAGTTGTAACACCGCACTTTCTCTAGAAAATGATTAATTGCGAAAGAATGAACAACAGTTATGGAATTATTTTTGCTTGATTCGGTAGAGGAATAATTACAGCAAATGTCCATCTTTATTTCGTAGAAATATAATTAGTGGATCCCAAGATATGCTAATATAAAAAAAAACTGTTACAACCAGCCCCTAGCTCCTTTACGCTAAATAACTTCCAAAATTTTCCAATATTTTAATGACAAAAACACGTTTTTTAAGCTGCTACAATAATGTTACTCATTGCATTTTTTTCTAAAAATTTAGTTAATATATAAAATTGTGATAATCAGACTTAATCTTTTCACTTTTGAGAATGTTTTCGGTAAAGGTGATGCTGCTGTACAGCCAGTGTTGTTACGCAAAAAAATTTTGATTTTCCAATCGATAAAAATGTATTTAAAAATAAAAATTTCACTTATAAAAAACTAAAAACTAGAATTTTCAACATTCGTACACACGGATCGTCAAGCAAATGTCATCTATAGACGACGCTCGTAGCGAAAGTGTTAACGAATAATATTGAAAATATTGAATATAAACTATATTTAATATTATTATATTTTTTTCAAATTTCAGGTGCTCCATGCGGCGGATCTGAGTTCCAAAGTGTTATGGATGTTTTGACACAAAATGGACGTAACACCTTGAATAACGTTAATAGTTTGAATAATGCAAATAATTTAAATAATAGTAGTAACGTAACAAACCATAAAAATATACTAGGTGACACTGGCGGTTCGGTCTGGAGACCATACTAAAGACGACTAAAGATGTTTAGCTGGACAGCACGTTTTATAACGATTGCACAGAAAAATTAACTATTATCTGATTTTCGTAATGTTATCTATATAAACGTAAACGGTACTATTTAAAGGCATGACGTTTTGTAGAATTATAAGTATATATAATAATAATTTTCTTAGCTATTTGATCTAGTTGATTTTGTACTGAAATTAAATCTATATTTGAAAAAAATGTTCACTTACATTGTTATATTAATCAGTTATGTAATACTTGTTATATTTGGTTCCAAATAATAAAGTTTCATACGGATAAGAATAATTTTTGCTCGATGTACAGTTATTTTAAAAAGTTTGGTATTTTAATCCCTATGTTTATCAACCAGTTAAATCTTAAAGGAATATGTAATTAACTTCTAAAACAAAAGTATAGTTTGATTCGGCTGCAGTAAATCACCAAAGCTGGTCTTCATTATATTCCAAGTTTTTACGGGTTCTTAATCGCCATAAAATAACAAACTTATTATCAGCAAATATTTCATTCAACAAACCACCAAAAAACATTATCACAAATTTTTGGATAGGTTATAATTTTAATTTTTCATTAAAAGGACTAACGTATTTTTTACAAGAAATAGTGGCTGAAAAATCATGAATCGACCACTTTCTTTTACAAATATTTGCGGGTTCTTATCTGGTACGTAAGCGAGATTTTGTTAATTAATGTTGAAAATGTACACTCATGTAAAAAGCCAGATATTTAATAAAATTATTAAGGGTAAGTTAGGTTAAGATAACATCCTTTATGTGCAACATAAATTAGATAATATAAGAAATATATATAAACTTGTACGTAGTACATAAATTCAATGATATTATTAATAAAGTTATCTAACTAAATAAATTTGTGCGTTTTTTTACTCAACACAAAACGTAACGATGAGTTGAAAGAATTGTAGTGATAATTAGTTAATTTATTATAAATCAAAACTTATACAAAGAAATCCAGAGCGCAGTGTGTAGGGCAAAATTTCGACGTTTTTCCAAAACAGCTGCACCGATTTCACTCATTTAAACGTCATTTGATGAATCTTGATAAGAACTCGTGTTTATTATTATTGTGGGATGATAAAAATTAATTTAAACTCAATCAACTCAAAAGTAAAATTTTTGATAATTTTGAAATTTTTTGAAGAATTTTACTTTTTTTTAAATTTGAAATATTTTTTTGAAAATGAAGGTTTTTTAAGTAATTGCGTTTTTGAAAGGTTTTTCAAGTAATCGCGTTGCTTTAGCTATGTAGAAACAAAACGTTTGCCGCGCCGCAATTTAATTGATAAACATTGGTACGAAATTCATAGAAATGTAAACTATAATAAATTTGTACTTATTATAAAAATCTGTTAAAATATCTGATAATTTGATGTGCATTTGTTTATTGATCATTTTTGTCCGCCAAATGGCTTTTTTTACTTTTTTCATTGAATCTCCAAAATCGCTAGAACTACCTTCCACAAAATACAATAAATTCTTCTTCTCGTCAATATAAGTAAAACGGACGCTCCGTTCTTCCCAAAACTAGATTATCTTTTTTGGCATTTTTTGCGCCGTATCTTCGAAATGGCGGGATTTTTCTTGGCCAAAAACTAATCAGCACGTTTCCTTATTAATCGGATGTTTTTTAAATTCAAATCGGCTATTTCGTATTCTTGAAATTGTCGATAAAAAAATATATCCGCGCATACATAAACACACACGTGCATACCTCCAATTAGCACAACAAAAAAGTGAAGCTGTACTTATCACGAGTAGAAAAACAATAGAGACCATCAAGCTGAAGATAGGAAATCTAGAGATCACGTCAAAACCTCACGTCTGTTACCTCGGCGTAATGTTTGATGCTCAATTGAATTTCCATCAACAGGTGGAACTAAGGCGTCAATAGTTAGGACGAGATGTGTTAGACTGGTGGCTAATGTTGGAGGCCCTAAACAAACCAGAAGTATATCATCAGTGGTTACTTCGGTGCTTACATATGGTATCATCATATGTGCTGATGCTCTCAAAACTCAAAAATCGATAACAATGGCAGGACCTATATATCATCTGAGTGCTTTAAGAATTGCTTGCGCATTTCGCACAATATCGGAGGAAGCGGTGTGCGTCATTTCAGGAACTTTGCCTCTCTTAATCTTATCAGAGGAAAGACAGACAATTTACCATCAAAGGCATCAACAACTGAGTCCTGAGAATAGAAAAACGGCAGAACAGCATTGATCGATGGCAGCAACTGTGGGATGTCGCAGTGAAGGGCAGATGGATGCATCGTCTCATTTCAAACATCAAAGTCTGGCTAAATCGCAAGCATGGAGAAATGAATTATTACACTACACAAATGCTATTTGGGCACGGCTGTTTGCGAGCCTACCTCGCCTTTCGAGCTCGCCGGATTGCCCATATTGTTTGGGCAAAATCAAAGATGCTGAGCATGTGTTCTTTGTGTGCCCGCGATTTGGTGCTCTACGATATGATGTGGAAGAGACATTGAAGCGAAGAATTACTCCAGGTACTGTTGTTGAAATGATGCTGACAACTGAAGCTGCTTGGAACGCCATATACAGGTTTGCGAGAGAGGTGCTAATTGACCTGCGTTCTATGGAAAGAGAAAGGGCGAATGGGACTTCGCCCATTTAAAAGATGAGTATAAAATCAAATTAAGAATCATAACTTTGTAGATACTCCCCCCACGAAGTAATGCCTAACGGCGGTTTCCGTGGAGAGCAGAGGCAAGGGCAAAGCGGAGAATTTAGTCGGTATTATACCAGGGCCGTGTTGAGTTACGACCAGTGTGTGATGCGTAAAAGCATTTTCTTTGCTACACAAAAAACATACATACATACTTACATACATGCACGCACGCATACTCAAACACACAAATCCTGCGTTGATATCGTTAACAGCGTTTTGTTTCAACACAACCCCGTAGCAAAAACAGATTGAAGCTTGTCATCGGGTTAGATATAGTAATGCACCGGGATTATATGGAATTTTTAATATCGCCTCAAAAACATCAATTATGACATCTCGGACAATGTTTCTTAATGCCTATAATACGCCAGTTTGCGTCATTTCAGGAACTCTACCTCTTTTAGTCTTAGCAGAGCAAAGACGGTCAATTTACCAACAAAGACATCAATAACTTTTATTTTATTTCCATCTAAACTACAACTGCCTGAGAAGGCATTCCGTAATTGTTGTGATTAGTTATTAAATAAGTTTTTAAAATACTTATTTGGTAAAATAAAGTATAAATACTTAATTGGTAGTATTTCAAGTTAGTATAATAAATATAAATATGTGACAATAATTGCAAGCAGATAATAAATATAAATATGTGAGAATAATTACAAGCACTATACTAAATATATAACTATGCTAAGTCTAGTGGATCTAATCTTCTTAGTCTCTTGACAGTGTTCGCAGAAAGTAGGCCCTTTGCTAGTTCATTTGGATGGTTCTCCAATCTTGACTTATATTTTGCAGCAAATCTGCTAATTTCTTCCGCTATTGTTTGTATATTGCAATTCTGATGAACAAGCCAATTAGGTACATACCTGGGAGCCTCCAGTATTTTTTTGAGGATCTTGTTTTGAGCTTTCTGTAAGATGTTTATATTAGATCGACTGGCACTACCCCAGAGTGAAATGCCGTAAGTCCAGATTGGTTTTAAGACGACTTTGTATACAAGAAGCTTATTGTAGGTGGATAATTTGGACTTCGGACCCAACAGCCAGTAAAGTTTTTTAAAATTCTCTTCAAGCTGGAAACGTTTTTTCATTAGATGATTTTTCCACGTAAGCCTTCTGTCCAAGTGAAACCCCAGGTAAGACATCAATAACTAAGTCCTGAAAAGTTGAGAATAGAAGAACGCAGAACAGCATTGACCGATAGCAGCAACTGTGGGATGTCACATTTAAGGGCAGATGGACACATCGTCTCATTCTGAACATTAAAAGTCTGGCTAAATCGCAAGCATGGAGAAGTTAATTATTGCACTACGCAAATTGTTCCCGTTCGCAACCATTCGTCGAGATCCTTTGCAACAGAATCTGATTGGGTCGTCTCATCTGGACTTGTTTAGATCCGACTTTGGTCGACTAGCGATCGCGACAGATTTCAAAATCTTCGTCGATCTCAGAGTTGGAAAGATTTTTGACATAAAATATTGAAGGAAAAATTGTTGGTTTATTTGAAAAGTTTGAACCAACTTTATACAAGTTTTTACTAATTTTATGTTATTTTATTCGCTGTGCTGCTGTACTGGTAAGAAGTTATATATTTTTTACAACTCATAACGCACTCTGTGCAGTACTGCCCGTACAATTAATAATTAAAATCATTTTATTGCTTGGCGTACGGGACACCCTTGTGAGGGCACCCGCATCGCCATCCCGGCTCATTCAGGCGACGCGACATTTCTGTCGCCCCTTAGGTTTGCGTCACCTGGGGCATACATTTTTTTTTTGTGCATGCGAACAACGATACGGATCTGACTAACATTTTCCTAGCTGTACTACACATCGTGTGCTATTGATGAACTGAAAATTTTAAGCTATCAATCGTCGCTAACATAAAATTTTCAGTGAAATTATTTTATGGTAATCGTTAGCCGCTAACAAAATTTTCAGTAAAATTACTTTGCGATTTTCGTTGCCTACCAACGGTTGTTAGGCTATTAGCCATTGATTTTTTAGGTTTTTTTTGGTTGGTTGTATTTTTGAGTTTTTTTAAAGCTTTTAGCCTTTGATTTTTTAAGTTTTTTGAGCTTTTTTCAAATCTTTTAGCCGTTGATTTTTTAAGTTTTTTTTGTTATATTTGTGAGCTTTTTACAAAGCTTTTAGCTTTTCATTTTTTAAGTTTTTTTGGTTGTATTTTTGAGCTTTTCTCAAAGCTCTTAGCCTTTGTTTTTTAAATTTTTTTGGTTGGTTGTATTTTTGAGCTATTTTCAAAGCTTTGAGC